GGATTTTGTAGCCCCCGGCTTGCTCTTTTGAATGGTGAAAACCGCAGCTCGATAACTCAAAGTAATCAAAAGTTATTCAGAAAATGGTCGTTAATACTTTAAAAAAAATCCGACATTAGTACGATTTTATCGTGATGTGACGGGATTTCAATTGAATTGTTCTCAAAATACAGTGTAATCTCCTTGAACGATGCTTTCAATAAAAAGCGCATGTTATCTTCGAATTCTTTTATGTTCAATAGTTGACATAATTTTTTCGGTTGATTCATAAGTGTTGTTTCACTATTCTACGGTCGATTAACATACAATCGCTGTTTAGTAATGTCAAAATAGACATTGGTTTCTTGTACAAATGTTCCATTGTAAAATAATTGCAACCTATTTGATTCAATAAAATCTAGCCTATTCTTCAATTATTTTGTCTATTGATTGAATAAATTCAGCACGAACTTTCAACTTTTTTTAACCAATTATTCGTATGTGGTAAAATTTGAATGAGTTGCATTCGAAAATTTTCCGCTTGCGATGATTTCTCATCATTCAGAATCAAATCGTTCATTCGGATTTGTTTCACATGTATAAATTTCAATAGGGTACTCAAGTTTGGATGATTTTTGTTTGCAAAATCAAGCTTGAGACATGGAATTGCGTCATTCAAACTGCTATTTTCACTAGCACTTTTCATGTAGACAAACAATTCGGAAGTTAATTTCCATTGATTATTTTCAGTTAACAAAAATAGAGTTTTCGATTGTTCACATAGCGATTGCAGTTCGACTGATGACCAAGATGAAATGGATTCCAACAAATGAGAATATATTTTTTGTATATGATCTTGATTGTTGTCCAAACACTTTTCATCTTCACGAATCTTGTTCAGTAGATGAAAATAATCTTTGGGCATAAATTTTCTTTTAAAATTGAAAAACGATTGCCACTCAGTCATTTTTGGTTTAAGTGGAATTATAGCAATCGGTAGGTATTTATTACATAATTGCATCGTGTCGCTCGTTCGAAGAAATATGTTTGTCGAGGAATCACAGATGCGTAACGTTGTCGGTATACATTTAGCGTGTGCTACGAACCATTGTGGATAGTCAGAATTATCTAATGTCGTTCAGTACGTCGAACGCCAAAAAACTCTTGTACACTGTTTTAAATCAGTCGGATGAATATCATTTAGAACAGCTGACCAGAAGATACACGCAAATTTATAATTACCTATGGTTTTGAAGATGAAGAAGAATTAGACAAATCTGATAAAAGGAAAACATTCCTCAAGTTATTAAGCCCGTCAAACAGATGGTCAGAGCACAGTATTCTCGATGAAATACTTGAATATTGTGATTACGCACGTACAGAAACCAAACACAGACTCAGAAGGACAATCAAATTTTTGAGTAACTTTGAGTCATCGGTTATTTATTGGTTTCAAGCTTATGGAAACTTGATTCGAATTCTCAAAGTTGAGTCGTTCTCCGTTTCAAATCTTCTTTACGCAAAAAATGTAAGAAAGTAGATGTCAAAAGGACAAGTGATAGTAAGGTCATTATTAATTCCCAACAATTATTGTTTTGATGGAAACTACGTCGTCATAATAAGTCGACCATGGCTAGCTTTCTATACAACTCAGTTTTTCAACATTCTTCGAAACAAATTTTTCGTTTTGCTTATACATAAGCTTAGTGACCCATCTAATATCCTGAAAATTTCCATCGAAAATAATGTTCCTTTGTCGCGATAATGAATTTCTAAGAAATAATCGTTTGCAACAGACACGTCACAAAAATCGAGTTTACTTAAAATTGAAGTTTCGTTTTTTGATTTTTTGGTGAATATCTAGAACAGCGTTGCCAATTCAGTAAACGAACAAACATTGATCATAAAAGTGGATGCAGACGAGCCCTCTTAAGCTGTTGATAATCTCACAAATACCTCATTGTGGGCTCAGTTTGAGCTCAAACGGCATTAATTCTGATGGATACTCAACTCAGTCGACTCTAATTGGCATACCTTACATTGCGATATTAAGTTTCGTGAGATTTCACCAGCAAACAGTTTTGTTGATGTGTGCAATGTCCTTAGATTTTCCGCTTAAAAGAAAATTCGTATCCTGATACATTAATGTACCAACAAGCAGAACATTCTAGCGTCTTTCAAGGGCTATGAGTGATATTTTTGGACTTTCATATCTCTGACAGAAAAACATTTTTTTATGAACTGAAATTTTTAGCAAATCATATTCACAAATAAATCTGCTTGTTGGCAAAGTCTCAAGACGAAATATGATTATACAGTTTGTTGAAATGTATCATGTGACGAGCTAGTATTCAAGTTAAATGCCTATAACTCTGGGCAGAAGACATAAGAAAACTTATCATTTTGAGGTTTATCGAATCTCATCGGGATCAATCTTATGTACACAGTCGGAATTCAAAAGCAATTGATAAGTGAAAAAAATTCTCTCGTTATCTAGAATGATAGAGAACACAGAAAATGCCATTGACTTTAACGCAAAATGTTTTACCTGTTGTATGCTGCAAAAATGATATTATTTTTAAACCTGAATAGGCATTAGCAATTCTGCGACCGTTAGGCGATGGCCGTAGCACATAATCTGGTGAAAATTCATATTGTATTGCTTCATCACTTGTTATTATGTGATCAAAATCGAACTTTATCAAATATAAATTTTCATGAACACCCATCATAGAAAAAAATCGACGCCATTCAGAAAGGTTTTCTTTTTCCACACAGGACAAGTTGCTTGTCACGTAATCAAACGATAAAAATATATCTTGAATTGTTTCCAAATATACTTCTAGTGGTAATTGGGGATTAAATTTGTCCGAGAAATAAAATTTCTCAGCTGGTCTTAAGGCACCACGTGTTGTTAATAATTTCAATGTTTTCAACTGACCAAGCTCATTCTTGCCAATGATACCCTTTTGGAACAATACAAAGAGCTTCTCTATTGTTGCTATAGCATTTTCTCGATTTATGTACGTAGTCGAATTCGGAATTATCGTTTTGAGTAAAAATGTCAAATCCGTTCTTTCGGTAATACCTAACATTTGCAACCATTCTTTTAATTTGCTGTTTTGGTATTCATTTAACCAATGGAATATGTTTTCGTTTACAAATGATTCCTTGCAACCAGTACCACCACTATTACCAATTGTTTCAACTGGAAAATAAATATATTTTGTCAATTGTAAACGATTGTTTTGATCCATCAAAAATGGGATTTGTTCAATATTCAACTTCATATCAGTGGTTCGTTCAGACTCTAACCATTTTGAGTAAAAATATTTGATCATTCGTTTATTCTGTTCTATCGAATGAGATTTATTGAATTTCTTTGATTTGAACATTTCAATACAGAAATCTCAGCTGAATATATGAGCACCCAATTCAGTCAAATTATGATCATCGTCAATAAATGGATCCTCAGTCAATGTAAGGTTATTTTCTAGACATTTGCTCATTATAAATTGTCGCATAAAACGAATATTGATAAATGATGATTGTTTAGACATCGACGTTTTATCGATGATAACTTCGTCAACCTGAAAATCAAGTGGCCAACTTAAAAACAAGTCGTCAGAAATTTCATGCCACTTTCAGTGATTCATTTTTGTTTAAAGTGAATTTTAAAATCGATCCGCAAGATGTAACTTGTTACGATCTTATTTTATTGCAACAGTAACTGCTATAAAGAATCCGAACAGTGGCATGATTACAGATAATTATTTAAAAAAACTATTTGGATAGATTAAAATCTTTGGTATACTACTGAGATCAAAGGTTTGTAGAAAATGAAAAGTCTTTTATTTTTAATTATCCAGAAGACACTTACGGTTTTTATTTCGACTATACGACATACGACGCCCTGGTTTCTCTACTACTTATTATAATTGGGTATTATCCATCAAAAAAGAAAGCGCAGTATCCAGGGATAAGTCAAACGGTCAAAATGTCGACAATATAATGATAACTATCAAGGGTGGGAGTGTGGATGTGAAGCAGAGAAATCAGGAACTCAAATACACCCACATCCCTACACATTGAAGATTCAAGTTCAGGGTTCAAAAAGTCAATCTTACAGAATACTAGCCATCCTGATATCGTTATTAACTAGCGTAGAACACCGATGTTTTGCTTTCATTTACCCTCAATAATTCGTTTCTTCTGTTACGAATAAATCTACAATGTTTCACAGTCGAATCCCACCCTGCATTGAACCGTTTTGTCAATTCATTAATCGTCGAATTTAATTTCGATGGTATTAGCCTGTACGCTTGAAAGTGAAAATGGTCGTTGACAACGAGCTCTTTTATCCATTCAAACAGTGCACCAGAAAATGTACCAAATAACCATTGGTTCCAAAGTGAATCTATGAACACAAACAAAAGACTTTCAGTCATTAATGAGAAATGCTCAATTACATATTAATAGATCTATCCCTCGCCTCCTCGCAATGCAAAAACCTTCTGTATTAAAACACTTCAACACTAGCGATGTACCGATCGTATAGAAAACCCGATCTTCTAATAGGTAGTTTTTTTCAAATTTGGTCATTCGTTACTTGAAAAATCGGCAGATCTACACGATAATGCATTAAAACTTCAGAAATAATACAATCAACACATGGCATATTCCGGACTTCTTCTTCCTTAAATAACATAAGCTGTTGAACACATATTCCTTCCATAGCGTCAGTATTAGAAGGAAATTTCTAAGAAAAGTAAATCTCAACACATTTGTGTCTATTTTAATTTAGTATATTCTTCATGTTCGACAATAAGTTTAGCTTTTGAGTTTACCTTAATTTGTGCATAAAGGTTTGTATTAGTGAGTAGCTCTTAAATGTTGTGTTCTTGGAAATTCACTTTTTCATATTGAATAGTATAAACATTATTTGCATTATACTCAGTCTAACTTGTTGCATCAAGAAAAATTGATAGACATTGTATAGTTTCGGACAAAAATTTGACTAGTATTAGTAAATTCTGAGGTAATGAATAGAAAACGAAATTCAAATGTCTCTCTGAGCTGGAAGGTTAGATTTCGGAATAGCATGTGGTTCTTCCTGAAACTTTTTGCAGAAAGCATCTTATTTTTTACGTTAGCTTTGAAAACTTTAGTTCAAGAACATGACTACTCTCGGAGACCTGCATCGTATGTATGACGTTTAAAAGTTTCATTATTGCATTAATAGATTTATCAAGTAATGCGCACGTGATTCTTGAAAGAGGACGAATTGATCTTTTGACGAATTTCAGAAATCGCTCTGGAGTACTGGATGCTAGATCACAACAAGTTGTGAGGAGTCCTACTTGTTCAAACGAGTTATCGCTGTTTGAGTTTATCAGGTAGTACTATTTTTGTTAAGAGTCGACCTTCCCTTAACGATCTCTAATTATGTCTTTCGATTAGGGTGCAGATGACAATCTGGAAATGTCGAATACTGCAATTTTCTGGTAGAATTCAGGCCGAAACAGTATATTAGTAGAGATCGCACAATATACAATACTCGATCGAAGATTTTTTTTTAGATAACTTTGAGGTACACGGTTCTTATAACGTGGGAAAGAGGAGATTATAAACTCTTTTGAACCATTTTTGCGCCTTTCATTGGTCACAAGCATTTTAAGAAAACAAGACTGAGACAATCATTTTGATTTGATTTACCTGTATGAATTTGTTCTCGATTGGCATTTATCAAAAAGTTGGCGTTGATTAATATCTGAAGTTTGTACTGCGTAATTTTTGTTGGAAGGTAAGAGAAAAGC